ACTGCAGAAAATCAAAGAGGAAAAGCCTGACATTCCAATCCCATGGAGATAGATTTGGACTAGAGCAACAGCAACGTGGTCAGAATCAAGTCTTAGGTGACTCAGAAACTGGTAGAGTAGTAGGTAGATCTCACCTGAGTGTTAGGTGGTGTAAGGAAGAGAATTGGGAGGAACATTAGAATTTTTAGAATTATTCCACTGCCTCAAAATAGATAGCTCTTAGGGGCCTTAGGAAATCACAGCTATAAACCTATGTTTGGCTTATCTGTCACTCACTGAATCCACTATACATTTCAGTTTATAGCTGTCATTGGATTTTGAAGTAGAAATAAAAATAAAGGCACTGTTGCTACTTCTAATATTAGTTATAGATGTACCAGTTTAATAGGTGACTAATGGGATAGAGAAATTTAGAACTATAGGCTCTGATTTAATATTATATCACTTTTAAGTACAAAATTAGAAAGTATAAGAAATATAAAGTAAGTGAGTAAAGGGACATTTAAATGTACTCCAAGCACTTCCTTTCAACCCTAAATTCTACACGTTTCTGGCTCCATAGACAATTCCCAAGGGGGTGGTTCACTGATCATCTATCTCCTTGAGCAATTGTGTAATTTTGGCAGCTGTCTTTGTTAGCCATATTTCCAGAGGATTCCTCAGAGCCAAGAGTATCTGCCAAGAGGAGTCAAAATGCTGCTGGCAACCACGAATTGGACTTGTGACAAATGGAGGTGTTCCAGCTCTCTGACTTTGCCAACTCCATTGTTAGAGGAATGTGATAAATGGTTGAGAGCATCTGCCCTTGTGAGCTGACAAAGATCCAAACAGCTTAAAATATGATAGGAAGCCAGGCTTCTCTGGCCAACTCCTGGACGGTGTGCATCAGTCTACAACTGAACGCTAGAAACAAAGAAATGTATGTGAAGAGCCATTTTCCAGGGATTTCTTTGTTTCTATGCAGAAGTTAACAGCTCTTGCATTTGACTGGTTTGGACATGATCTCTGGAGCTAGTAGGGGAAATGCTGCAATTGTATTCCAGGGTGCAGAGTGAGAATTCCAGGAATATTAAGCCATTAAAATTAATGTGCTTAAAGAATCCACAGGAGGTTTTTTGATGATGAATGTTGTATCATGAAAGTTTGAGGACTTTTTTCCTTCCTTTTCCCTCTTCTAATTTGTTATGGGTCATATAAGGGAACAAACTCTAAACTTTCAGCTATTAAAACAAAACACAAAACATAGAATTGCTTATAATCCCAATGTACATCTATAAACCCAGTTAATTATGCTTATAGATATAACCTTCCATTTTCCTTTCTATTCTACTTATTTCTATGCTTTATTTTTCCCTATATAAAGACATATATACAACTAGAGTCCTGGTACATGAATTCGTGCATGGGTGGGGTCCCTCAGTCTGGCCAGTGATCAGGGCCATCTCGCCAGGGGGAGGAACTGCAGGAGGTTGGCCAGCCGCAGGAGGTTGGCTGTGGGAGCTGCACTGACCACCAGGGGGCAGCTCCTGTGTTGAGTGTCTGCCCCCTGGTGGTCAGTGTGTGTCATAACCACCAGTCAACCAGTTGTTTGGCCATTCAGTTGCTTAGGCTTTTATATATATATACTAGAGGCCCGATGCACAAAGATTCATGCAAGAATAGGCCTTCTTTCCCCTGGCTGCCAGCACCAACTTTCCTCCGGCACCCAGGACCTGGCTGCTTCACTCTGGCTGCTGCCAGGCACCCAGGACCTGGGTTGCTTCACTATAGCTGCCACCGCCACCCACCAGGAAGGTGCTCTGAGCTGCGCCATGGGTGTGTGTCTGCTGGGGCTGGGAGCAGCACACAGTCCCTTCCCATCTACATGTGCAGCTCCTCCTGAGCTGGTGTGATACAGCCTCCTCCTGAGCTGGTTGTGACCGTTACAGCATCATAGCCTAATTTGCAAATTACTCTCCCTCTCTGTCTCTGTATGTCTCTCTCTCTCTTTCTATACACACACACACACACACACACACACACATATATAAATATATATATATATATTATAAGAAATATATTTAAAATAAGTGAGTAAAGGTACATTTAAATGTACTCCAAGCACTTCCTTTCAACCCTAAATTCTATACATTTCTTGCTCCATAGACAATTCCCAAGGGGGTGAGTCTATATGTATATATATAGATTGTCTCTGTGTGTGTTTAGATGCATGTGTTTATGTGTGTGTGCGGGGAGTGCATGTCAAAGTCACCAAAGATTTCTATATAACTAAAATCCAGTGATCAATTCTTAATCCTCATCATACCTAACCTGTCAATAACATTTGACACAGCTTACCTTCTTCAAATCCTTTGCTCACCTGGATCCCAAGATCCCATATTCTCTGGATTTTTTCCTTTTACAACATTAGTCTTTCTTTTTGTCATTTCCTTTGCTGGTTCCTCCTTCCTAGAGTTCAGTCTTTGGACTGCTATTGGACCTACTCTCTTGGAAATCTTTTCCCATTCCATGATTCTAAATGCTATCTACCTGTTGAGAACTCCCAAACGTATCTGTCCCATAATTCTCATGTGAACTTCAGGATCATAGATCTCTCTACCTCCATCTCCATTTGGAAGTCTAATAGGCATCTCAGAGGTGTCCAAAAGAGAATCCCAAATCCTAGCAAACCATTTCCTACTACAAAAAAATAAATAAAAAAAAAATAAAAAAAATGTCTTGCCAACCCTTTAACAGTAACTCCAAATTTCCCATTGCTCAGGTCAAACTGTTGGTGCATACCTAGGTCCTATTTTTCTTTCACATTTCACATCCAATCCAGCTAGTCTTCAAAATATATCCAGAATCCAACCACTTCTCATTACATTCTCTACACTACCACACTTGTTTGGATCACTATAAATTTCTAAAAGAGTCTCTCTGCTTTCACCTTTGTCCTCTCCAAGACTGAATGTTTCTTCTAAAACTAGAGTCAGATCATACCACTCTCCTCAGAACACTCCAATGGTTTCCCACATTACCCTAGAACAAAAGCCAAAGTCCTTACAATGGCCTAATAATAATCTGTGTGCCTTACTTACTTAAGTTTAAAAATATATGTGAGGCAGCATATTGGTGGTTAAGAGCATGTGCTCAGGGTTAGATTGCTTGTCTTCAAAATCTGGCTCTAATTGTTAGCTGTGTGAAGTTGGTTAAATTATTTAACTTCTTGTTGGTTAAATTTCTTCATTTGTTAAATGAAATTATCATACCTATCTCATAGAGTTTGGTGAATATTAATGAATTAATATTTATAATATCCTTACAATAATGCTGGCATATAGTAAATATAAAAATTTTTTTAAATGTCAAAATAGGCATTTGTGCTATTAGCACAAGATCTCATCATAAATCCTACACATAAAAATGTCTCCAATGGTTCCATCTATAAGAATTTCTAGATACCCCAAACATGCCTCAAAAAGATGAAAAATGTTTTGGTTAATCAAATTTGAAATGAACCATCATTTGTTTATTCTGAGTTCAAAGCTAGAATGGATTACATATCAAGATTTGCATTTTTAAATATTTTGTATTTTTAAGCATCCTGACACTGAGCTACTTTATCATTCACTTCCTAACCTAATAATATTTTCATTCATAAAATAGGTGTGACTCCCCCCAATCCCCCGCCAACTTATTATATAGCTTGCTTTATAAGATATACTTTACTTTTCTGCTTTTATTATTGTGGTAAAATAAACAATTTACTCTAAAAGTGATAAAATAAACAAAACCAAATGGTGTATTCCTACATATACCTATGATAGGCACAGAAGGGAGAATAAGTCATGTGGACTTTCCAGGAGAGAATCATAAAATTAATTGACTTTGTATTGGAAAAACTACTATAGACTCAATTCTATTCATGGCTTTAATCAATATTTAAATCTCTCCAGAGAGGGCTATCAGCCAGAGCCAGATTATTATAAGCTCACTTCTTACATCCATTTAACAGTTTTATTTGTACTTGAGTATAACTGAAGATAAAAAATATTCCCAATCAGCATCCCCCCACCCCCAAACACACACACACACACACACACACACACACACACACACACACACAAACAAGGCAGCACAATGCATACCCACACCCCTTACAGACTGCTTTATGGTCCACAGAAACAGGGCCTTTTTTACTCACAAGTAAATTTCTATGGATTATTAGAAGTGGAAAGACCAATTTGAAAAGAGGTAAAATATATATTTAAATACAAGGTAAGTTACAGTATTTATTCAGAAAAACAAAAGGAATTTGTGGAAGATTTGTTGAGGGGTTATAATGTATCTAAGGAAATATAAATTAGAAAAATGCTTGATAGGTGAATTTAACTTTTAGAATATGTTGTGCGAAGATTTGTTAATTCTGGAAAATTCTTCCAGTTGAAAATGAAATATTTGGTGTAAACGGGTCCTGTTGCTCTTAAAGTTCCATGCATGTTGCATGGTGAGGTGGGATAGTGATCAACTTCCAGGTAATAATAAACTTCAAATACCTGCCAATAGCAAGATGTCTCAGCCCCAACAACCATGCATTTGAGAATCCCTCTGAGGATGTGAGAGGAGAAACAATACTAGTGTACCTACACATTACAAATAAAAGACATTTAATTAGCACTTGCTCAGTTAAACCAACGTTATCATTTCACAGTATTTATTTTTTAATCTTCATTAAAGGATATTTTTCCATTGATATTTAGAGTGAGTGGGAGGGAGAGGGAGAGATAGAGAAAAATACTGATGTGAGAGAGACACCAGTGTGAAAGAGATACCTCAGAATAGAACCCAGGACCTTTCAGTCCACAGTCCAACTGACGCTCTATCCACTGAGCCACACCAGCAAGGGTTCATTTCATAGTATTAGGTCAATAAAGGATGTACAAGTGAATAGTGCCCTTCTAAAATGCCATTGTAATTCTTGTCCAATGACATTTCCCTTACTTTTTTTTTTTTTAAAGAAAGTTGGCCTTGAAGCACCATCCAGACAAAAATCCAGATGACCCAGCTGCTGCTGACAAGTTTAAGGAAATCAACAATGCCCACACAATACTTACTGACATGTCCAAGAGAATCATATATGACAAGTACGGATCGCTGGGACTCTATGTGGCTGAGCAATTTGGAGATGAAAATGTTAATACCTACTTTATGCTTTCAAGTTGGTGGGCAAAGGTGAATCATATTTTTTTTCCCCTTCAAAACCAATTTCCTGTTATATCATGATATTATCTACGCTTTTAGACTCGATTTCAAAGAAAGCCTAACCTTATATATTATTAAACTCTTGTAAATAAAAGAAGATATAGCTTTGATGGAAAATTGTTATTTGAGGATTGTTTTTGCTTTAGCTCATCAAATGATTGTAATATACAGCACAACTTAAAATAATTCCAGACCTTAATTATATTTGCATTTGAAGCTTCAAGTTAATTCTGACTGCCTTCTCTTCCTCCATAGTGACTAATTAAGAACTAACTCATTGCTCAAAACGGAAAATAATTTATTAGTGTGACGACTGTCTAATAAATTATTATTAACAAATTTAGCTATGTACTTTACTATTTATAACACAGAATACATCAGCAAACACAATACTTGAGAGAGTGTGTGGTAATGATGTCATGGGCTCACGTGGAGCCTGCGGTGAGGTAATGAAGGAAATGAGGGGGAGAGGGGAGAATTAAGTAGTGGAGGAGAGGGAGTTGGAGAGACAGAGAGAGGGAGAGAGAGAAAAAAGATATCTGGTCAAGAAAAGGCAACACTTTTAAGGACTTACTGCAATCAGAACTGATTTTTTATAGTAATTTTGTGCAGTTTCCTAGTAATCACTACTATATGTATGTTTGGTGATGGTTTTATATTTGTTTATGAGTTTTAGTATCTTCTGATAAAAATATATTTGCATATGAACATATATATAGCCTACCAGCATATTATTGGACAATTCACATACATGTGAACAGCTCACACATTTTGTGAAATCATATGAACTTACACTTATGAGTTGTAATTAATAATTGATACAGCTGCTGATTTTCAAAAAGGCATGCTCTGTAGTAGATTGCTACTTTCTTTCACTAAAATAAATATTGCTAAATTAAAGAGTTTTATGTATGCAGGAAGAGAATGTTTTTGTACATAAGCAGGGAGAGAGTCTGCAACATAAAGCCTCATTTGCCTCCTGTAGTCGCATACTTCCTTTTCTTGGGGATAACTAGGATTCCCCACCAAAATCCCCTTTATTGTTGAGGACTTGGGAGGGAGACAAGTTCTTGCCAAGCAGATCTGGAACTTGGAATGAGAGTGTACTTATTGACAATGTCATTTCTATGATAGATTAAACATTCCTATAACAACATGGGCTTTTTGTGGACTTGCCTGGGGACTTAGCCTCCTGACATGACACTTCTTCCACAGGAAGGTCCATCTGGAGTTCTAGATTATTTGCACACTAGCACTTGATTGCATATGGGAGCCCACATGCATAAAAATGAGAATAGGTTTCTTTGCTCAGGAAATTGACAAAATTGATCAAAATTCATAGACAAGCAGATGTCTAATAGCATAAGAGGTATATAAAGTAATTCCTGATGTGGTTTTTTAAAAATAGGGCTACAAAAAATTCTACCTTCCCCTTCTGCTTGTGCCAAAGCTTAATTGCACAGTGCCCATGAGAATGGCCTGGCACACAGAGATCATGTATTAAGTATGCACTGTACAAATAAATCTGTACTATTTAAAAATATTGGACACCCACTTGCATCTAATACTGTGCTAAGCACTGAAAATGATAAGACAAGACAATCTATTTTAGTTGAAACAACTAAACAACAAAACAATATATGAATTACAGAAAATTTTCAGAGAAGAGAAAATTCTGGGAACTGCATAGTAAACATTTTTAAAAGGATGAGAGGAGGAGCTTGTTGGGGCAATGACTCAAGAATACTGCACAGGAGGGTCTTGGAGGCAGCTGTTGAGGAGGAGGGTGTTGCAGGTTTGTCTTTTCAGAATATATTTTTATTGATTTTCACAGAGGAAGGGAGAGAGAAAAAGAGATAGAAACACCAATGATAAGAGAGAATCATTGATCAACTGCCTCCTGCTTGCCCCACACTGGGGACCAAACCCGCAACCCAGGCTGCCCTGACTGGGAATTGAACCGTGACCTCCTGATTCATAGGTAGCCATTCAACCAAGGAGCCACACCAGCTGGGCTGCTGTTTTATTTTTAGAGTAATTTACATAAGTCTATGAAAATATAGACTATTCAGAGCAAAAAGATGCTAGGTGTGAGGGTGTAACTAAAGCTCCCTCACTCTAAGCCATCCCAACAACTGAGGCCAGAGTCAGATAGAGGGAGTGCTGGGCTGGGAAGCCGAGATGGGGCAGGTTAGGTTCCTCAACCTCAAAGATTCCACCTTAAGTCACTGAAGAACTGTAGACACACACAGTGATCTTTATCCCCTCTGTTCCTTTTATTAGATAAAATCTGTATTCTGATTTAAAGATGTATAAACCACTTAAGCACCACGGTAGAAGTTTGTATAGAGTACAAAGGAGGGGAGGGGATCAGGAAACATGTCAAGGAGAGGATCTTTGAGATGACTCTGAAATATGGAGTGGTAATTGTAACGTGGCTAGGTGGGTACATCTAGGCAGACGAATCCACAGAGAGAGCAAAGCTATGGCAGATATGGCAAGAACAGGGCATGCAGGAGAAGGGTTGACAAAGGCCAGATGACCATAGTAAGGAGCTCCGGCCTTATTGGAGAGAGAGCAGAGTAGCTAGCTACATGAGTTCAGGAGAATATATATATTTCAGGAAGCTCCAGCAGCAACACATAGGGTGGATTAGGAGGCATGGAAGTCAGTTATAAGGTTACTGAAACATCCAGAACAGAGATAACAGGACCCGTTCTCAAGCCCTACCAGCCAGTATAGAGACAGGGGAGAGTGTAAGATATAATGAGGAGAGAAAGTCTGCAGAGACTAAGAGGAATGTGGGTGAGGGAGGGGGAGCTGTCAATAACTCCTCTGGTGAGAATGATTCTGTCTCCTTGGTTAGATCATGAGACTCATAGATTTTTTTTTGCTTGTTGGTTGGTTGGGTTTGTTTTGTTTGGTTTACTCTTAATAATGATCACCATAACTTAAGATTAAAAAAGAAAATGTCATGCATCATTACTTTAGCTACAAGCCATTTCCTCTGGGTTTTAACTTACTAGGTAAAATTCTATGTGGAATTTTGTTTCCAAGGAAACTAAAAAAAAAAAAAAGTTGCATGCAATAGGGATGAGAGTGCAGGGTAAACCGCAGTGTCTTGAGGTCTTTGTAGGTACATAAGTACACACTTAATTTCTGGAGTTCTCACATACCCCACTACCTCTCGCCCCTGTCTTGCTTTTCCTGTTTCTCCTAGGCCCTGTTTGTCATTATTGGCCTCTTGACCGGCTGCTATTTTTGCTGCTGTCTATGCTGTTGCTGCAACTGCTGCTGTGGACGCTGCCGGCCCAAATCTTCGGAGCCAGAAGAGGACTTCTATGTGTCCCCAGAGGATCTTGAGGAGCAGATCAAGACTGACATGGAAAAAGGTAGAGTATGATGAGAGCAGAGGTAGTGGGTGTCCCTTCATAGGCCTGGCCAAACATCAGGTCCCATGGTGATGGTTATCACTAAAGTGAGAGATGGTTCCTATCAACCATGTTGGGGGAACCCCACAGACTGTCAGCTTCTTTTGCAGAGGATGAAAGGAATAGTTACTTTTAGCAGCAACAGAGAAAAACAGAGCCTGACACCATTAGAAAGAAATATGCTGATCTAGTCCAATATGCAAAGCTGGTATAATTCGTGGTCTCATTACAAGAGCGTGAGCTCTGGGTTCAGGGAGGATTGGGAGTGCCCAGGGGTAGGAGAACCAAGGTAGAAGTTTCTACCGGGAGAAGCATTTCAGGCTCTTACTTTAGGATCTTTATTCAAATAGAAGGAAATGGACATCAAAAGTCAGCAACCTGTCACTTTTCTTCTTTTTGATTATTTGATAATGAGTTTTGGGTAGATTTGGGGGAGCTTGGTCTTTTTCCCTTGAAATGTAGCTTCTTTCCAAACCTACACTTTAAAGCTTGCCCTAAACCAGCATTAAGAATATTGTCCTATGTAAATAGGGCTATTTCCTTTGTTAAATCACCCCCACATGTCTACATACACACACACACACACACACCCCCACAGGGCCCGGTGCACAAGATTTGTGCACTGAGGGTAGGAGGGTCCTTCAGCCCAACCTGCTCCCTCTTACACACTGGGAGCCCTCAGGGGATATCCTACTGATGGCTTAGGCCCGCACTCCACAGGGAGCAGGCCTAAGCTGCAGTCTGGCCTCCCTTTGTGGGAAGCAACTGGGCTGAATAGAGGAAGGCACCAGCCCCATCACCCCGCTGCTACAGCCACCGCCAGTCACCGCAGCCACCAAGTTGTTTTCATCAACATGGACTCCAGTCCCTTCACCAAGAAAAAATGACAACTTTTGTAGGCATTTTCAAGATGTGTCTTTCATAGGATATGCATCTTTCTTTATTTTTATTTTTTTTATCCTCACCTGAGGATATGTTTCCATTGACTTTTAGATAATGTGGAAGAGAAAAGGAAAGACAGAAAGAAACATCAAAGTGAGAGGACCACTTTGATTGGTTGCCTCCTGCATGAGCCCTGATCTGGGCCCCGGCTGGGAGGAGCTTGCAATCTAGAGACATGCCCTTGATCAGAATCGAACCCAGACCCTGCTGTAGACAGGCTGAGGCATTATTTTTGGGGTCAAACCGGCTAGGGGAGGATATGGCATTTCTTAGCCCTCCAGTAGTGGGCCTTCATTTTTTCTCTAAAAATGCGGTGGAAAAATCCTAGATCACCTTTTTGGATTCTTTTTTTTTTTAATATATTTTTTATTGATTTTATACAGAGAGGAAGGGAGAGAGATAAAGTTAGAAACATCGATGAGAGAGAGTCATCGATCAGCTGCCTCTTGCACACCCCCCACTGGGGATATGCCCACAACCAAGGTACATGCCCTTGACCGGAACCGAACCCGGGACCCTTCAGTCCCCAAGCCAATGCTCTATCCATTGAGCCAAACCAGTCCCGGCACCTTTTTGGATTCTTATTATCCAAGTTACTAAGAATAATACCAGTGGCAGGAAGCTTAGCTAATGTGCAGTCAGAAAAGGTGTTTCCTCTATAGTTCACAGCAATCGAGGGCTGGGCCCTGCCCAGACCTAAAGCCTCTGGCCAAAGCTTCAGGCCTGGGCAGGACCTCTCCAGCTCCCTCTGATCACCGGCTCAGCCCCTGCCCAGGCCAAAAGCCTCTTGGGCAAGAGCAGACCCCCAGCTCTCTGCAATCAATCGTAGGGAGTCTGCTCCTGCCCAGGCTGAAAGCAGAACCCCAGCTCCCTGCCCAGGTGATCGATCGCAGGGGGTCCGCTCATGCACCAGGCCTTACTTCACAGTGACCTGGGTGCCAGGATGTTCCTGGGACATGGGCCCTATGCATCTATCTATGCAAATTAACTGCCATTATTTTTGGGTTAATTTGCATAGTCACTCTGACTGGCTATTATGAGATAAGGTAGGTCAATTTACATGTTTATCTATTATGAGATAAGATACCCATGAGATATTACTTGAGGTCACTTTGCCTAGAAATGATAACGAAAAAATGTAGTAAATGATAAAATCTCACAGAATTTACAACACCAGGAATATTTCACATTCTCTGAAAAAATGACTTTGTTTAAACAAGCTGAATCAAGCCTGACATTGTCCTTTATCTTGTAGCCATAATTCTACTGTCATTTTCTCCTGTAGAATGCATCATTATTCTGAATTATGGACTATCACTAAATCACAAAGAACCCTAGACAGCCAGATAAGAGAAATACTTGGTAATTCAGACAGTGGCCTAGTGTTGTCAGAGCTGTTGAAATTAGGAATGGTGCTCTGTGGACTGCACTATACTCTGATTCTTTGCATCACAATGAAACAAATTCCATGACATCAAGCAGCAGACTGCTTAAAGGCTTGCATGCATCTTTTATTCCAAATCAAATGTGTTGCTGAGTAGTATCCAGTTATTACCCATTCTGACTCCAGCTTCAAGGAAGGAGTCTTCAATCATGTGAATCATGCTTAGTCTCATACCATTTTAGGAATGGGGGGGTCAGAGAGGATGGAAGGGATGTTCCTGTAACCTGTGACCCCTTCTTATGGGGTCCAGCAAATGGGGATTGCTATTACAATTTTTTATTACTGCCCCTAGAGCCAAAATGTGGGCCCAAGGTGAAATGTGATCACAAGTTTCCTTTGCCTTACTTGGGATATAAAAGAATAAGTCTTTTAATGGAGGCATAAATATGAAAAAGCACAAGCAAGCAGTATTACTCATACATGGACTAAAAAGAGATATAAATATGCAAACTCCTCTTCAGAAAAGGGCCAGTGAATGGCCTTGGCATAACTTGTCTAAGAATGATGAGCCCAGTGTATTAATCCCAACTGCTCTTTGAGGCAGGTAAAATGTTGAAAGATCATGTCAGAGGTCTCTGGTCCCATTGTTCATCGGATCTCCCATAATATCCATCAATCCTATCCAGTACTCACTCACTGACAGAGGATAGGAAGGGGAGCACTGTCATCATCATCCACTGTAAAGAGCAACCTTAACTTGTCTTTTATACTGTGGAACCCAAAACTAGGTGAATTGAACTTAGATATCACAAATCCAGTGTTCACACTTCTCTGAAAAGCCTCAAAGTTTTTCCTCTTTTAATTTTTAAAATTCTGACTGGGGCTAGGGATAGAATCTGCAACCCAAGTACATGCCCTTGACCAGAAATTAAACCTATGAATCTTCGGTGTGTGAGCTGGTGCTCTAACCATTGATCACACCAGCCAAGGCAAAGTTTTTTCTCTTTTAAATTAGATCAAAGTTCCACCAGGTCATTTCAGCGGACATTTTTTTGCAGATTTCTTTTCTGGAATAGAAATTCATCCTTGGTGCCAAATTCCAGCCAGGTTTCCTTTCTGCAGGGTGACTGGTGATAAATCTATGTGTCTCACTGTTCTCAGTTCTGATGCCCCCCAGAGCTAGCAATTCCATTACAGAGGTCAGATTCTAGACTAAGTAAATTATGATCCAATTTTACTCTATTACTAAGTATCACATGATCTCACTTATAAGCGGAATATTATGGAGAAAATAAACTGACGAATAAAATAGACCACCCTCCCAAAGAAGACTTAATCAAGAGGAAAAAGTTTTATTCCATTCCTATGTATTTAAAAGCTCCAATGCAGAATTAATTCAGGTTTTGTAGGGCTTGAAACTTATACAATTTGGGGACAGTCCTCTTTACGAAAAAGAACACAAAATTACAAATGCAAAATTAAATCAGAAAGTAAATATTTATTTAGAATGAGAAAAAGAAATCCCAACAAAGTGCAAAGCTTAAAAACTGCCAAATAACATAAATATCACAAAATACAGAAAAACAGCAGTAGTTTATTTTTTTAAATAAATTTTTATTGTTCATATTATTACAAATGTTCCTCCCCCCCCCCCATTGTTCTCCTCCACCAGGTTCCCATCCCACCCTCTGCCCTTTCCCAACCCCCATTGTCCTCATTCATAGGTGCACAGTTTATGTTCAGTCTCTTCCCACATTCCCTTCTCCCCTTTTCCCCAAGAATCGTCAGTTCACTAATCTTCCATACCTCTGATTCTATTATATTCATCAGTTAATATTGTTCATCAGATTTTTTTTTAATTTCCTTGGTTTTTAGATTCACTTGTTGATAGTTACGTATTTGTTGTTCATAATTTTTATCTTTATTTACTTTCTCTTCTGAAAGAACCCCCTTCAGCAATTCATATAATTCTGGTTTGGTGGTGATGAACTGCTTTAGCTTTTTTTTTTTTTTTATTAGTGAAGCTCTTTATCTGGCCTTCGATTTTGAGTGATTGCTTTGTTGGGTAGATTATCTTTGGCTGTAGGTTCTTACTATTCATCACCTTGAATATTTCTTGCCATTCCCTTCTGGCCTGCATGGTTGCTGTTGAGAAGTCAGCTGACAATCGTATAGGTGCTCCTTTATAGGTGACTACCTGCTTAGCTCTTGCTGCTTTTAATATTCTCTCTTTGTCTTTTGCTCTTGGAATTTTAATTATGATTTGTCTTGGTGTGGTCCTCTTTGGATTCCTTTTGTTTGGAGTTCTGTGCGCTTCCTGGACTTGTAAGTCTAATTCTTTCACCAGGTGGGGGAAGTTTTCTGTCACTATTTCTTTTAGTATGTTTTTGATATCTTGCTCTCTCTCATCTTCTGGGACCCCCATAATTCTGGTGTTGGTTCGCTTGAAGTTGTCCCAGAGGTTTCTTACATTCTCTTCAATTTTCTGGATTCTCTTGTCTTCTTGCTTCTGTGGAGGAGTGTCTTCTGGCTCTTTATGTTCCAAATCTTTGACTTGATTTTTGCGATCTTCCATTCTGTTTTTAGGACTCTGTATAATATTTTTAATTTCAGACAATGTATTCTTTATTTCTTGTTGATCCCTTATCATTTCTTGTTGATTCCTCATTAAGTCTAGTTGATCCCTTTTCATATCCTCATAGGTCTTATCAATCTTTTCTAGGAAATTCTTGAAAAACCTTATAAGCGTAGATTTGAACTCTATATCCAGTTGCTTTTTGTCCTCCATTTCTTTCTTTTGTGATCTATTTCGTTGTCGCATTTTCACAGCTTCCCTGATGGGGTGGAGTTTCAGGGTGGAGCCTACAGGCTTGGCTTCCATCAGCCCCGCCCTATGCGGCTCCTGAGTCTCAGGGTCCTTCAGTACTGGTTGCAAGCACCTCTGAGAGAAAGGTGCCCTCGATTTTCACCTGCTACCAAACAGTCTAGGCTCTCCCTCAATGAGCAGGTATTGGGGTTCAGTTCAGTTGGAAGTGGAGTTGGAGGTGGTGTTCAGAGTAGTCTGGAGCCCCTGTCTCCTTCCCGCCAGGGCAATCCCGTGGCACAGCCAACCGTCCCTTCTCTGAGCGCAATGTGCGCACTTCCGGGACCTCCTTTCGCCACTCCCCCAGGGTTCTGCCTCACAGCCCAGCTCCCTCTGTTTGAGCCTGGGTCCCCGGGTTCTGGCCTAGAACTGGGGTTCAGAGCAGTCAGAACTGGGGCCCCACACAGTTGGGGCTTTTATCTCCTTCCCGCTAGGGAATGCCAGCCAAGCACTCAGCCGCCCCGCCCTTTCTCTCCGGCTCCGTCCTCTCCGCGCACAGCGTGTCTCCGTACCTTAGGCTTTTACAGCTCCTCCGCGCTTCCTTCTGGTTTTCTCCTTGCTTCTCGTTGTAGAATTTCCAGTCAGTTGATTTTACTGTAGTTCTGGGTAATGTCCATTTTATATTTTAGTTGTATTTTATTGAAATTGTTGTGTATGGCGGTGGCTAGGTGTTTACCTGTGCAGCCATCTTGGATTCTCCCTGAGTTCTCTCAAACAGCAATAGTTTAATTAATTGCCTGATATATCCCTATAATACCTTTACCCTATGTTTTCTGAGTGCATATTCTTTGCTGGCCTTTTCATTTAACAGTACTAGTATAATATCATTTTCTGTAAGAAGAATAGAAAAATAATTCTTCTAGCATGTTTAATTTGTTTTTATGATTGTAGATGAGAAAAGTTACAGTTTTGCAACTCATTATTGCTAATGCCTAAATATTTAGGGATTGTTGTCAAATCTGTGAAAATTAGTTGATTTCATATATAACATAAAATTTGGAAACATTTTTCCACACACCATTTTATGACTGCACATTTCAAACTTGTTTTCTCTCCATCTCCCAAAACTGCCAGGGTCAGAGTCCACTGACACATTCATATTGTGTGACACCCCCTTTGGTGTGAAATCTTCATGCCCCCTCAACAAGTGAATTGTCATAGTGAATCACAAATTATCCCTAAAGCCATCCCTATGCCAGTATGGCTACCAATAATTATACACAGAGTTGCTGCAAACCACAAAATCTTATCTCACTATACCCAAAGGAAACTTATCCCCAACTATATTTCCCCTTAACTGAATCTCCAAAATGTCCATAGCCCCTCTGTTGCCACTCGTCAAGAAGAAAAGCATGAGGGAGGAAAAGTGGAAAAAGACAGTGTTTTGTTAAGATTAAAATATTTTACTTTTGCAAATCTACAAAAAATGTGAACATATCTCTAGGGTCCCTAAAGCTTAACTTTCATTAACTGCAGTAAATCGACCACCACTGCTCCTCAGTCTAACATTTCATTATGAGAATTCATGCCTTATTTGAAATGAAGTACATTAGTTAGTCTCAGACTTTTATTCCACTAATTCAAAGACTTAATGTAGTTTACTGGTATAATTAGTGCAATTTAAGGCTTGTGAGGATGAAAATGAAGATTTCATGTGAAGACTATACTTTCTGGACCCTGATCCTATTAATGGGTTATGGTCTCTTCCATTCTGCAAAAGAAGGCCCACTTAAAGTTGTTTAAGAAAGGGCACTTGAAAGTATTATAGCTACTAGTCACTTGGATATCAAGTTACTCGTGACAAATGATAAGCAGCACACATCAAGATTTGAGTCCGTTAGAAGGCACATGTAAGACATTGGAGCTTTTTCATATTTTATTCAATTTATTCTGAAATAGAATAAAATATAGCAAACATATTATCACTTAGAGGATTTTTTTATTATCCTATGTTTAATCTAATCACAAAATCTTAAGATTTTAGAGTTGGAAGGAGTCCAAGGTATCTACCTTCATCTCCCCACAATTTTTCTAACAGACTGAGGCCCACCCTCATTTGAAAGCTATCAATAATGGGGATGTTTGGGACCTTGTATGAAAAGTAAGACATACTCATAAAAATTCAACCACCATAGGCAGGTACAGAGTCAAAGAAAGGCAAGTTTATGTCAACCTCCTGGCACCAGCTCATCAAAGATTACAACTTAAAAAAAATTTTTTGTGTGTAACTATTTAAAGGGTTTTGTTCCTTTTATAAAAATGTTATAGCTATATATTGTTTCCCCCCCCCCCTGCTGCTTTGCAGAGAAAAAATGTTGATGAAAAATTTATTAATGTTTTTCATGGATTATGCTTTTGATGTCATGTCTAAGAACTCTTAGCCTAAGCCTATATCATGAAGATTTTCTTCATTATTTTCTTAAAGTTTTATGTTTAACATTTAGGTCTATACCCATTTTAAGTTCACTTTTGTATAAGGTGTGAGGTTTAGGTGGAGACTCCCCCCTCCCCCCCATATAAAGGGAGTAGGAAGGGAAGTAAGGATCATTGAAAAAGAAGAAGAATTTAATATCTTCCTTGGTGCCCTTTTTCTGGTCTATAAAGTGTGGTGAATACTGAACAGCAAATGTAGTAAATGTTTCAGCACTAAAACTCAAGACTAATAAATTTCCTTGCAGATTTAGAGGTGTGGTGATTTACAGAGCACATAACCATTTTGAGTACTGGCTTGATGTAGGGAGCTTCCTATTAGACTCTTTAAGCAAACTCTTGGTTTTGGCCTCTTCCCGATGAGAGCCTTTTATTATGCTATTGTGCACTGCACAATTCTAGAGGGCATTTTTTATATAATATATATTATAGTCTATATAGTATGTAGTGGGCCTATCTTCATTCTCATAAGATGGTAAAAAGTAAACCAAATTCAGCAATTGCCTCAAACTGAAAGCTGGGTTCAGTGCTTTGGTTTTATATTTCTAAAGAAGTATATTTCTATAGAAGAGTAAGGACAGTATCTCCTTCCTTCTGAAGTCCTTTAAATGATAACCATCCTCAATATCTTACAAATTGAATTGATTTACCAATCATCATTTCAACAAAAATATCTACCACTTGCCCCATTAAAGAAAACATAGCATGATAAGAAGGTATTTATTGTTTTGCTTTGTTTATTTTTAGATTTGGACTTTCCAGTTGTTCTTCAGCCTACAAATGCAAATGAGAAAACACAGCTAATCAAAGAAGGATCTCGAAGTTATCTCACAGACTCTTAATACTGAGCCCATTGAAGGTCTGCAGTACCTCCTCTTGGTTCACCCATGCCTCCAGATGGCCATGGGGAGAGGACAAGGGGCATGAAATGCTGTGAAGTTTTCCACATTTGTATTTTATTTTAAGGTTAGGGAAAGACAACTTTCCCTACATAACTTTCCAGTATGCAAACTTACTCTTTGAGTAGAACTTCTACTGAAACATTCCATTTCAACGAATAAAGACTTGAAGAGTTGTTTTATGCTCCTTGCATGAGGTAAAACAGTGGCACTGGACAGGCTGGGTGAGCCTGCCCTTGATGTGAGCCAGACCTCACTCCTTACAGACTAAAAAATTATTCTGAAGCAAAGGCCACTTTTCATCTATCTAGCTAAATGCAATATTCATATCTGCCATAAATATCAGCAAAATATATAGGAGAATATAGGAGGAATTTTTCATATGTGGAAAATATTCAATATGGCTACCGAAACATTTAAAGAGCAGAAAAATTTGTTAGGTAAAAAAGACAAACCATATTATTTTAAAGTATATTTTTGAAAGATTTAAAATTTTAACTTGTTGAAAACTGACGAAACCAGGAAAAAAACAGGTTTTGTGTGTACTTTTAGACTGGCATAAAAACAAAAACTCCAACCTGGTTGAATGTTATAAATGATCCAGAAAATCATTATGAGCTCAAGCCAGTCCCAAACAATGTGTTGATTATTTTTATGTAAAAAATTATTTCTGTATAACTGGCCTAGATTAGCTACACTAAAGAAAAACAACAACACAAGAGGTAAAGGGTAGAATTCTAAATTCTATAGCCTAAATTTAAAGGCATATCACTTATCCCATTTTTGGTGGGATTAATTACATTGATGAGAAAATGTTTATCTCTGTGCATGTTAAACATTTAAACTTAGAGGTCATCTTTACATTTACTTGTTTGATCCAGATATTCATTATGTGCTATTTCTGAACAGTATAGCAGCAAAAGTGTTTGCTTTTCAAGGTCTTTCTTAGATCTTTCTAAGACATTGCATTTTCAAGATTTTGTGTTGTGTTTTTATATGTTATTATAAAATGTCTTTTTTCCCCCAGATTCTTATTTCCTACCACCAAATAACAGTTAATTAAGGTAAAATATACATTGTGAGAATTGGTGTGATGCCTCTTACAGTTCTGATGTCATTAAAACTCTGCTCTAACCCTTGAGTTACTGGATTTTTTTTTTTTTTTATTGACAGAATCAAGTAGAAAGGGCCTTGGTTTGAAAGTGAAGAAACTTTCTAATCTCAGTTCTAATTAATTATCCCTTTTATCAAGTGAGATGAGAATAATATAGCTAATCTCCCTATGACTCTGTTTTCATATCTGCTGTCATCTTTAGTAAGACCAGATGAAAGAGTTGAGGTTAAAGAACTCTAACAAGTCAAGTGTTTAACAAATATAAGGTGATCTTGCATAAGTTTGTACATGTTGGTACTCATAGGAAAATGTGATGTGAATTTCTTCTGTATATAAACTCTCACTCAACAAGACCTATGAACATACTCAATACGAACAGCCCAAATGACAAGCTCAGAACTCTGAGGTAAATAGCTCTACCTGTGGATAATTTGAACCACTACATTTCTTTCCTGAAGACTGCAAAGGTCAGGCCTATCCTATAAAATTAAAGGCTAATATGCAAATCGACCAAACGGTGGAATGACCAGTTGTTATGACATGCACTGACCACCAGGAAGCAGGTGCTCAATGCAGGAGCTACCCTTGGTGGTCAGTGTGCTCCCACAGGGGTAGCACTGCTCAACCAGTGACAGTGGTGGAAGCCTTTCCCGCCTCCTCAGCAGATCTAAGGATATTCGACTGATGGCTTAGGCCTGCTAGAGGGCGCAGGCTGGACTGAGGCATCTCACTGAGTGCATGTATTTTATGCACTGGGCCTCTAGTTTTATAATGACTACCTACACATAACAAATCTCAGCTTCTCTGTCTCTCCCAGACCTCATTTTTCTCTCTTACATGGAGTTTTTTACTTCCATTCCCAGCTTGCTCAAGGAGTTGGTACAAGAATGGTTAAGATGAGAACAGGACATGAATCAGAATCAGAATCAAATAGTGAAATTAAATTCCTAAAGGGGTCCTGACCAATATTTTTCACAAAGGCTAGTTTCTAGTTACAAGGATGTGTGGCAAATGCAAGCACATTTCCTATGAATGAGGAAATGAATTACATAGAATGTCCCTTGGTTACAGACACAAATATCATCAACTCTTAATCTGAGGAGGGGCCACTTAAACATCTTTTGGAAGTCAAGGGACAGCAGCTGCCATCTGGAATCACCAGCAGTTATTCTGAATCCGCAAACATCTTAGCAGAGAAGCATCAAGGAAAGAAGGGATATGCTGACCATGATACTCAGCAATTTTTGCATGGTCCTGGTTCATGCAGGGTCAAATGAACCACCCACGTTAGTGGCTCACTGTTTAATCCTGATCTCTAGGATACCTGCGTAGGGGATTTCATATAAAGTTTTATAGTTCATCCATTTATTTTTGCTGTCTTACATTAGAACATAATAAAAATATGCATTTTTCTTTACCAAAATATGCATTTCTTAATTCTTTGAGAATAAATGACATTCTATTTCTACATTTCAAATGACATGTAGGCCAAAACACATTTGATATGGCCTAGCCTGAATATACATGATCATCTCACCTACAGAGAATTCCAATGAAGGCTACATGATCTCTGTGGCAGGCACAATAATGGCCTCCCAAAATGTGCATGTCCTAATTTCCAGAACCTGTGAATATATCACCTTTCATAGTAAAAAGAACTTTGCAAATGTGATTATTAAGAACCTTGAGATGGGGTGATTATCCTGGATTATAAAACCGGGTTCAATCTAATCACATGGGTCCTTAAAAATGGAGAGAGAACCTTTCCTGGCTATGGAGAGAGGGAGAGATGTGAGTACAGAGGAATGGTCAGAAAAATGCACTGGAAGAAAGATCAGAGAATGGTCAGAGATATGATTTCAAGGGGGAAGAGGTTGGGGCCATGAGCTAAGGTATACAGGCAGTTCTAAAAGCTGAAAAGGTCAAGGAAATGGATTCTCCTCTAGAGCCTCCAAAAAGAATCACAACCCTGTTACCACCTTGATTTTAGCCCAGTGACCCTGTGTCAAACTTCTGACCTTCAGAAGTTTAATAATGAATCAGTGATCCCCACTTGTTTCTTCATTGTCTCCTTGTCGCTTCTCTTCCCCATTTTTCAGTACTCCATCCCCTTTCCTGTCCCCCTCCCTCTCCCATTTCTATCTTTCTTCCACTTGACCTTCATTTCTCTTTTTTTATCTCCTAATCTCTCTGCTCACCACTGTCAACTCTCCACCTTAACTCTCCACCTTAACTTTTATTGGTCTTCTATTTATTTATTTTTAATAATTTTTTATTGTTGAAACATATATATATATATATATATATATATATATATATATATATCCCCTTCCAGCCTGCCCCCACCCTCTGCCCCAGGCCCTCACCACTCCATTGTCTGTGTCCATGGGCCATACATATGCTGAGTGGCCAGATTATTATGATCTCTAAACACACAATAATCTGCCCCCCCTTCTCTCTCTCTCCTCTCTCTCTCTCTCTCTCTCTCTCTCTCTCTCTCTCTCTCTCTCTCTCTTCTCAAGGGACATGGACGGCTGGTTGGCCTGCCTGCTGATTGAACTCCTGGTAGAGGGGACAATTTGCATAATAGCCTTTTATTATATAGGATATACACTGAGTGGCCAGATTATTATGAGTTCAGAGATCAGTATATGCATACAAGGTCCTTGGTTGATTACCTCCCACTCACCTATCCTCCCTCACCTTCCCTCTGAGATTTCACACTCTGTTACATGCTTCCATGTCTCTGGATCCACTCCATTCATCAGTTTATTTTGTTACTTAGATGTCACATATAAGTGAGATCATGTGATACTTGTCTTTCTCTGACTAATTTCACTGTGCATGATACTCTCTAGATCTCTCCATGCAAACTAAAAGGCATTTACTGGTCTCTTAGATAAACTGAACTATTATAAATATTCCACAATTGGTGAAGGAGGGAGAGATTGGAAATAGTCTGGGTAATAGAATATTCTTAAAGGAACATCTTTTTCCCCTTCAAACACAAATAATCACCATGCTACCGTGTTTCCCCCAAAATAAGACATCCTCCTAAAATAAGACCTAGCGCATGGAAAGATAAGACATCCCTGAAAATAAGACCTAGTGCAACTTTGGGAGAAAAAATTAATATAAGACACTGTCTTATTTTCAGGGAAACAGGGTAATAAGAAAAGGGGGAACAAAATTACTTTTCAAACAATTCTCTGAGTGTACTGACCAATAGAAATAATTTATAATGATCACATTCATTATTAAAATGTATTGAAATATATTTAAAAATTTAAAAATGTATTGAAAGGTAATTTATTGAAACATTATTTTTGTAGTTTTTTAGCAGAGTGAAAGGAATAAGTATTCTACTACTGAGTTTCATCTTTAAAAGTCACTCTCTTATTACCACAGCATTAAAGGTTTTTAAAACAAACAAACAAACAAACAAAAAAAAGTAGCCAGACACCTGGAAAATAATACCCAGGCTCTTGTTTGGGAGCTTGGGCTGTTTAGAAGGTCTATTAGAAATGTGTGCACTGAAATCTGAGGGAGAGAAACACCCACATCACGAATGGCCTCTAGATTAAAGATGGGTTTGGGAGTTTGGGTGTGTGTGTGTGTGTGTGTATTTCCAGAGTAGCCCACACTTGTGTCCCTATAGGGGAGAGCTGCTATGATGAGGTAACACTTGGATATGGCTGGTTGACAAAATTTAGCCATGGCTTTGCAGATATAATGAAAGATTCCTGTGCCAACATCTGGCTCCTCCATGGAACCACACAGGGTTGGATACTAAGACCTCAGGGAAAAAAACACCACCACCAGATTGAGG